CCGAGGCTGAACGTCTAGTAAATCCGGGAGATCTTTCAGATATTTCCTTACTTTGTCTTGCCCTTCCTTGCCTAAGTCGTTCCACCATAATCGCAACTCAAAAGGGATCTTGGTCATTATTGAAGAGGGTTCGTTTTATATCGTGCTCATCCTGCACATTTATTAGGGTGATTATGCCAATGAAAAAAAAAATTATTAGACTCAAAATAAAACTATCTAGATCTTTTTCAAGATTTTTTTTTATTTTTTATTTTAAAAAAAAACGACGAACTCGATTTTCAAATGCGGCCTTTTAGCACTTCGAGAATGAAGACTTTAAGGCTGCGAGGATCAACTGATCAAAAAATGATGACCAAAGATGGTCATTTATGCAATGTCAGCCTTCCGGCGTCCCTCTTGGGAACATTCAGCTGTTTTTACAAAAACGGCATCACCCGACTCTTTATAAAAGTGGCGACATTTTGTCTTTTTTTTGTCGTTTTTTTTTCTCTTTTTTTTTTTTGCAAAATGGGAGGTTGGACCCGATGAGAGTTGCCTACGTATCTCACGCCCTGTGAGAATCAAACCGGCGTAGTTCGGGCCATCGTGAATAGAGTAAATCAATTAAACCCTTTTTTGAATACAATAAAGAAAAAGCAAGAATATATTTTTCTGGATTTTTATATATTATTTTTTTTATTTTTCTTTTGAAAAGAGATAAAGAAAATATTTTTAAGGAAGTATTTGGACTATCAGTTTGAATTTATAAAAGAGGTACTACGAAAGAAACCGCATTTTTTGAACTCTGAATTTTCCCCCCTTTTTTTTACTTTTGAATAAATACTCTTTTTTTGGATTTTGAAAGTGATTAAAAGGAAATTTTTTTTGTATTATATATTTTATATTTTTTAATAAATCAAACTAAAAGACAAATTTTGTTTTCATTTTTTTTTAAGAAAATTTCGGTGAGGTTTTGACACTACTTGGACATTGGTTTTTTTTTTTTCAAAAATAAGTAATTATCTCCCTACGATGCTATTTTTCTTTCCTTTTTTTTTGAATTTTTTTTTAGAAACCGGTCAGCATGCAGATTTGAAGCAAATAAATGCGTCAAACAAACGGGATGCAGCAGGATGGTCTTTTCATTTTAGGTTACATGTCCTAGACGGACCCAACCCCTGTGTTGAGTCCCCTATGTCAAATGCAACATGATGCAAATAAGCGTTCCTACTAGGGATCCGGCATGAGGTTTTGTTATACTAGGTTTATAACCTGGGTATATGTTCTAGACTGTGTACCTGAGCGGACAACTCGAGTCGAGGAGGGGGCAACTTACCGGGAACCAAAAGGCCATCCGGCTTCGTAACTTGTCCGACCCTCTTTTTTATTTCAGGGTATTGACACTAACAGAATAGGGAGTCTCGACCAGCGAGCTTCTCCCCGGAGGTAAGAAGAGAAGGGTTTCGGCACAGTTTATATACAGTTCAGATAATATCAAAGCGGTAAAAGACAACATTTAGCACGTTATGCCAAAACATGTAATAAAGATCAGATAATAAAGCCAAATATAACAATTATTCTAAGCTCGAATTCTTGAACCCTGAACCAGTGGTTCTGGGTAAATCCCCAGCAGAGTCGCCAGAGCTGTCACACCTCCTTTTTGAGCGCCAGGCCCCGAAGGGTTAAATGCGCGAGGGGAGTTTTTCCAATTTAAATGACAATATTCGAAATGAGATTATTTATTTAATTCAGAGTCGCCACTTGGGAAAGGTTTGGCTTTTGGTGTTCCAAGTCACCGGTTTATCTTGAATCCCGAATCAAGGAAAATATTCGACTNAAAGAGTCTATCACGTTATTATCTTTGGGGAAGACAGTGATATTTACTAAACAGTCCATCCCAAATTCTAAGTATTTATTATGACCGATTATTGAGGGCCCCGCAATTTGCATTTTTTATTTGGCGAGGCTCGTCTCGTTATTTTAAAGGATAATCTTAGCATGACTACATTTCCTATTTTTTGTTTTCTTAAAATAAATGGAAGAAGGAAAATACATTCTAACTAAGTTACATGTTTGGCCTAACCCGGATTCTTGTTAGTTATCTGGTTAATTATTTACGAGGCGGGAATTGTTTCGTGCCTTATTCCATGGGTAAACATGCTTTTAATTTGATAAAGGGAATTGCATACGAAATTTTATGAAATGCTAAACTTACTCCGAATGTTTCTCGAGTTGAATTTAACTAACTTATTTAAAGCAGATTAAGAGAATTAACTTCTAGAAACTGTTACTAATGGAATTCGAACATGGTCCTATATAGTGCCTCACGGGATCCGATAAAAAGAGACTTAAAATAAACCAGAACTACATTGTTATTTAACAAGTTTGAAGCATTCTACCTTATACATACAACATATAGCTGAAAGGGGATCTAGTTATCACTATGTTAACTATTCATGTATTCCACGAATTGCATAATTGCGTCCTTCGCACAACCAAACACTATGAATCATAATACTAAAGAAAACTAAAACTTTAGTTAAGTATAGAACTAACTATTGTTTTATGCTATTGAGTTACAAACTAGCAAATTACGTGGGTCCATCAATATACTATAAGTATTGCGGCAAATGATTAAACTTCTTCAACATCTTTCATTTCATGCTTTCAACTGTTACGTTTACATCAATGTGGGATTCGAAATGTGTACCTGGAATGCTGAAATGCAAAGAAGAAGAAGAAGATGGGGAAAATCAGCAGCAGCAGCAGCAGAAGGTAGCAGCAACGACAAACAATAAAGCAGCAATGACAATCCCAGGCAAAATAAACCAAAGCAGTAACCCGATGATACAGTACCCAATGTCAATTTTTCAAATACTCAAAGGAAAATCCTAAATCTTGACAGAGCCAGTAGCAACTGATGCTAAATTCCAAACAAAAGGGATGAGGAAAAACAATGTTTTCAGTTTTGAACAAACAAGAATTTCTTTTCTATCTTCCTCCCTGATTTCTGAACCCTCTTTTTCTAATTCAAAACTGTTTTCTGTCTAGTTTCAGCTTCTCTCTGTATGTGTGTATTTGTATATCTCCCTCCTCTCTCTTTTCTGCCTGTGTTCTTTTATCTCTGTCTGTCTGTGTGTGTGTGTCTATATGTGTCTGTGTATGTCTCTGTATATCCCTGTATCTCTCTTTTTCAGTCTCTATATGTGTCTCTCTGTGTATCTATCTCCCTTTTCTCTCTATGTGTCCATCTCTTCATATCCCTATGATCCCTTTATTTATAACCTT